TCATTGTAAACATTACCCATTTGGAAAAGCAGCCAAGATTCTTACATCTTTTGGTCAGTAACCACTTTCCTAACAGTTCTTTATGACCATCTAGTGGGGAGGGAGACCTTCTTATCCATTTGGTTTCCAAAGGAGTTTACTCACATATCATACAAAATGGCATGCCTTAGGACTTCCCCTTTCCCAAAGGAGCACAGAAAACTTGAAGCAAAAGTGCAGAAAGAAAAATCTGCCTTCTTCATCCTTTGTCTCATCCAAACCATATTTCACCTCCTCTGTGAAGCCTTTTGACTGAAGCATTCTGCAGCTTTCGCTTCTCAGACTTTGTAGCCCATGTCAGATTGCATGGTTTAGCATCAGATGGTGCTTCCACTGTAATGCCCTCCATCTGTTTTGCTTGAGTCTTTATTGATTGTCTGACTAAATGGAAAACTTTCTGAGAACAAGGTCTAGTATTCAGACTTTCTTGATCTATCAGAAAAATGGAGTGAGGGACTAATCAAGGACTGGCTTGAAGATTTTACTCTGGGGGTAGATTGGGACTAGGGACACTGAGCTGCCAGCGGAGGTAGAGCCTACAGACATCTTCCTTTCAGGAATAAGTTGAATTGCAATATTAAAGTCTGTCATGACTCCAAACCTGACTCATCCCAACCAGTAGTCAGAGGAGGGAAAGGGCAAAGGACCAGCTCAGAATAAAAAATCCAAACCGTACTTGGTTCTTAGGAATCAGGCAGAAGGAAGCAGCTATCATCCAAGGGATGTCTGCTACCACCTACATCCCAGGCACTGGGCCAGGGCACGATTCTCCAAGTCTTTTAGATCCAAAGAGAGGCAGAAAATGGTCCCCACGGCACCAGGAAGAGATCCAGGTTAGGCAACTGGCATCAGAGTGTGCTATGGGCAGGAAAAACATTAGAGTGGACTCATTCAGACTGCGAACGAACTGTCCGCAGAGACCGACCCTGCCCATTGCCCTGACAGTGTCTCTAGCCCTCACACTCCACCCACAACCTCTGACGCTTCTCCAAGTTTGAGAGTTTACTCCATCCGTCTCCCAAGCTCTGCTCTGTGGCTGCTGCCTCTCTTTGTGTCTCCCAGCTCTCCACCTAACCCTGTGAACTGGGCCACATGAACTACTTCATGATTCTCAAGGCTTCAAGGCTCCATTTTTATTTCCCTTTCACTCAAGTAGGCAATGGCAAAGGCTGCCTAAGTGATCCTGGTTGGCATTCTCTAACTCCACAGTCCTTGGATGTGTGTTTGGAATCCATCCATTGGAACACATCAAATCAAGCCAGCTCACCCAAACACGTGCACACCAGAGGAGCAAGAAAAAACCATTGCTAGTAAACAGCATGTCAGCTTCAAAATTCCTTACATTTCCTGGTTGTCCTCTCTCTTAGTTTTCACTTTTTTTTTTTCTTAAGATAAAAAAAAGGACCTAGATCCAGATTTGTCATTTATTAACTTAGAACCTTGACTAATTAACTTCTCTACCAAAGCAGAATAATAACAAGGACACGAGAGTTCTGCCCCTAACCTTGGGGAGGCCGACTGGCCAGCTCACACATTATAAAAAGTAGAATTTATGACTCAAGGCTCTCTGAATACTTACGGGTTTGACCACTTGACTTATGATTAAAGACATCAAACTATAAGGCAAGGATCTATGATGGCAAGAGGGAGGGACATCTGCACAGTGTTTCTGGGCACTGAGGATGTGACAGTTCAATATTTGTGGGAAGCGTCGGTAATTTGTTTGCAAGGCTGGGCAAAAACCTCTATTAGCAGCTGAATCGTCCTGGAAGTGTTTCAGCATCGTGGTAACATTGAGGTATGAGTCATGGTCAAAAGATTAGTGGAAGAATAAGAGGAGGGGACGCCACAGAGGCAGAATAATGAAGGAGCAGGAAGTACCTCTTTGCTCAGGTGACTTTTCCCAGACTCTATTGCAGGATTTTAGTATGTTTTTAATAACTTGACTGTTGCTTATAAAAACCAATAGCAGGTGCCTGGTAGAAGAAGAAAATAATGATTCAAGTATGAGAGTCATTTTCCAATTGATTTCCTTTCTCTTCATTTCCTCTTGACCTCAGTGGAGAAGGCACAGTCTCACTATTCAAAGAAACCATAACTCAGTCCTCACTCACGAACTTTGCTTAAGAAAGTGCTTAATATTTTTCTTCTTATATCCCAGGGAACTGCATTTCGGGTGTTTAATCATCTTTACAGCTCCAAATATTTGGGATTTATAGGAAGCATTTAAACTCAGTTGAAAAAAATAAAAACAGAGTGTCCTAAATGCAGGGTAAATTTTCACTCTTGTTATGGGTGTTAATTTATGATTCAACAATGATTTCAAGCCTTTTCCTCAAATCCTAGGAGGCTTGTATTTTCTTATTATTCAACCTGGTTTTATTCTCAGTGTCAAATGAATCACATATTCAATCACACAGAGCCCAGTGTTTTCCCATCCACGTAACTCAGAACTGATCTATGGACATATGAAGTGGTATCTCACTGCCTCTGGTGATGGAAATGTCCGGTCCTTTGTAAGACTAATTCTCCAGGGGAACATGTTCCTGGGAGCTAAGCCTTGAGGCCAGGGCATCCCAGTTGCTCTGAGCAAAGTTTCCGGTTATTGCAATACCAGTGGGAGTTATTTCAAAGACATGCAGTCCTTTCTGGATGAGTTGATCTAGGTTCAAGTAAGGTGGCTTCAATTCCTCGGGGTCTGTGGTAGCCTCCACTCCTGCCTTGGAGGGGAAGGTGTTAGGAGGGAAGACTTGAACTTTGGAGGTCTTCTCACTCTTTGGTGAAAGAGAAGAAAGGTTAGCACAGAGATGGGAGATGAGAGTCTGAGGTTGATGTTGAATGGTATCAATCCTCCTTGTTCCTGCCCATGTTGCAGACTCTCCATGAAATGTCTCTACAGCCGCCATATCAAGGCAGGGCACAGGCTGTGTCACCTGTCCTGGCTTTGCACCTTCACTGGGGCTTCCATGCACACTGTCTTCTGGCTTCTTACCCAGATGTTCCTGCTCTAACCAACCGCTTTAAACTGATGACTTATTTCAAAGGTCTACCTGAATTTGCAGTTCAACTCCATGTTGATCCCCTCAGTCCCATCTACCTCATGGTCCTTTTATATACTTTTTCCCATGTTGGACATCAGGAAGTCACTTGGCCTTCTTTACTGAGCAAGGGGTGCTCGCAGTGGGGAGGTGGCACCCTTCTCCAATCCCTGCTCTCTCCTCTGATCCTGACACCACCACTGTCCTCGTGTTGGTTCTGGCTCCAAGCTCATTTGGAAGCAGATGATCTAGCATACTAACTCTTGCCTGCATTGGACAAAGCTCTTCCCAACCCAGAGACCCAACAGCCTCTCCCAGATCCCCATGTGGCTCTGGACTCTGCCAAGATGTTCCCCAGAGGAAAGATTCAGAACAGAAGGACCTGGATTTGAAGTTCAATGAACCTTACCATGGAAGCTGCTGCTCCAGCTCAACTAATCTGGCAGTTCAAGCCAATTCAGCACCCTCCTACTTGTCTAGAAAAGAAACTGCAGGTGAGGCAGAGCAGGGAACCCTCTTCTATTCTAACGGTTCTGCTTCTTACTTTGAACATACACCATTCAAGGGCAAGGAACCTCTAAGGTAATAAATAAGCTGTTACGGAAGTGCTTGAGGACAAAAGAGGAAACACATATGATCCCTTTAAGGAATCATTGTTAGCACAACATGAATTGTATCTCCCGAGAAAGACAAATTAGGATCCTTATCCATAAGCCCCTGGAAACCTTGAGTGTGACCTGATCTAGAAATAGAATTTTTGCGATGGAATTACAAAGATGAGATTCTGGATTAGAAGGCATGACTATGCCCCTTTAAGAAAGGAAGACTTGGGGCTGCCCAGAGAAGCTCAGTTGGAAGATGGTCAGGTGAAGCTGGAGACAGAAATCAGAGCTATGTAGCAGAGGACTGCCACAGCCAGAGGCTGGGAATGAATCTTATGACCCTGCCAGCAGCCAGCCTGCAGATTCTGGGCTCCAGGAGGCGTTTCTGGTGTGTGGAGGCATGGTCTGTTGTGATTTGTTGCGGTATCCCTGGGAAACTAATATATATGCCACAGGGATAAAATAGAAAACTGATGTAAAAAGGCAAATTAGGAGAAAAGAAGTGAAAATGGCAAAGGACATATAAACAATGTTCTACGTCATTGATGATAAAAGAAACGTGACTTAGGACAAGAATTTGGCCTCTTTACAGATGGCATAAATTAAAGAGAATTGCAATGTCTGGCTTCAGCATGGGGAAATAGGAAGCTGTAGGGAACAAGTGAAAACCAATCTTGCAGAGAGTGATACGGTAATATATATCAGGCTGCAAAAATCATCATATTCAGGAAAATAATTAGGTAAGTGTGCAAAGCTCTAGGCATAGTACTATTTTCATCAAGGCATTGTTTATAATAGCTCAGTACTTGTATAAAAGAAAAGAAATTTAAAGTTCAAACAATAGGGAACTGTTAAATAATTTATGCTGTATTCACACAATAAAATTATTAAGGAACCATTAAAAGTGATGTCGATCCATATTTATCGACAAGAAGAGACGTTCCGACGCATTGCCAAGTAAAAAATGTACAGTAGAGATTAATGCAATTCTTTGTGGCTATCCATGCATAGCAAGAGGGGAAAACTAAGATGTATACCACGTCACTGGCTGCCAACTTTATGAATTATTTGTTTGTTTGTTGCATTTTCTAATTTTTCTTAAATGAAAATCAATAGCTTTAAAAATCAATATATGTTGCAAAGGAATAAGATGGATTTGAGTGCTTCCGGGACTGGGCCACCTCTTTTGTGCTGGCCCTGGCAGAGAAGACCCTGGAGGGGGAGGTTCTGAGGGCAGCTCTCCACACTCCTGCTGTCGCCACAGGCTGGTGGTGAGAACGGGGCCCACAGCCAGGCAAGAATGACTGCACCTGTTTCTTACCTCAATTTGACTCTGGTTTGTAGCCGGCAGCACATACTCTCAGGGGCCCACGTTTCACTTCCAGATTTCTGCCTTTTTTTATGCTGCCCCCCTTCTTGGTAGCAGTCTTATGGCTTCCATCCTTTCACACAGCAATGCCACTACCTATTGAAGGTTAACATACCCCATTGCAGTGTGAGTCCAGAGAAGTCAAGTCCACTTGGGCCTCCTGCAACCAGCTCTCTGCCTGATGTGCACCTGTTGAATTAAATTAAATCATGCAATTTGTAGAAGCAAAAGGGACTTAGCAACCAACCATAACACTAATTTCTCATGTCTAGACAAGGGGGGAAAAGGCTGAGGACCCAGAGTGCCTTGCTAATGGGCATGTGAGCCAAGAGGCCAGACCGCCTAATTCCCGGGAAGTGTTTCTCTTCCTACCTCCCACGGACTCTCACAAAACAATAGCTTCTTAGGCTGGGCCTTGGCACTGCTCTCTGTTCAAAAAGAAATGGAGCCGCTCCCTCAGACATCTCAGGAAGTCTGCTTCCATCAGCAGGTTCCTGTCCCATTCCTTCCCCCATATTGTTGTTCTCAAGCCTTCCCAAGGGGGGCAAGCATCCCACTCAGTGGCCTTTCCTGGGTTCCCCTCCAGTGTCCTCTGGCACCCTGCAACTCCATCTCTACCCTGAGGTGACCCCCAGCCTGCTGTGCTCCCCCATCTCCTCCAAACCCAGAAAAAAAACCGGTGCCAACATTGCACCACCCAGTCCTACATCCTATCTTCTAGTCCACTCTTCTACCTAACTTCCCCATCCAGACCCAGTGAACACTCATGCCTCCCCAGCTCGCAGGACCTCAGCTTTGCCCCCTTCTGCTTAGAGCTGCTATCACCTAGAAGTGGAAGATTCCTTCTTGCACCTATGCTTCCTGCATTGCAACAAGGCAGGCCCTGGCCAGCTCAGCTCATGCTCTCCCCACAAGGCAGGCTGCTGGGGTCCGTGCAGTAGGTGTGAATAACACGAAAGTGTGAAGAGAACAGCTCCCCTGCTTGGCAGGGCCCAGGGGAGCTTCCAGCTGTTTGGCAGGGCCCGGCGGATTTCTCTGACCACCTTGATGCAGTTTTCACCCCCTTTCGCATAGACACTCAACCACCCCACTAAGAATCTTGCAATCTATTAGGCATAGTTTGACCCTGTGAGATGGCTTTTACAACTAACATGAGCTTAAAAGTTAATGTTACTAATAATGTCTTGGTGAGTTGGCCTTTAACTGCGCACAGGAGTAGAATTGAGCCCATGCTGTTTCCAGACACCGTATTGTGTGCCTACCCATTGCTCTGAAATCTGGCCCAAACATTTAGCATGCTTTCTGGGAAATGGCTTGAAAAGAGTTTTACAAACTAATGGAAGTGGTGGGAGTATGGGCTGAAATTACTATGACAAAAAATATAGCTACTGTGACCCTAAAAGCTATCCTGTTACTGTGACCCTAAAGGCTATCCTGCTATGGCAAATAGTTATTGTGACCTTAAAGGTTAGCCTGTCCTTACAACTCTCAACTCTATGTTACTTTAGAACATAGTAAATGTAGTTGCTTTAGCTGCCTTCATAATTTTTAACTAGAGGAAATATAAGGTGATTTTACTTCCATCATATATACTTTTGATTATTGTTTGATCATTTATAAGGTTGTAGAACCTGCAGTTGTAGAGGGATTTAATGTTTGAAACCTTTTGTCAGATTTTTATGTTTTTTCTCTTTTGATGTATTTCTCTCATTAAGTGATGGATAAGTTATAGAATAAGAATTGTAGTAGGAATGTATTACTGAATAAGATGTGTTGTCTACTGAGAAAATGTTGGCTGCAACATCAGAATGGATAATGTCCTGTCTTAAGGTGAAACTATTTGTAGAATTATCTTTGGAAACCTAAATGGAGTAAGCAAGGCTCATTGCTAATTGTCATTCTTTTAGTCATCCTAACTCTTGCTCAGTTAACAAACTGTGTGAGCCTGCAGGCCTAATGACCTTTGGTGTCAATGCCCCAGTCCCCATAAACCAAGGCCTCAGACCTTTTCCCATATGTAATTCAAGGTAGGGATCCAGTTGTCACAGGCGGCGCCAAGGATGGGACCCAGACTTGAGGGGCGTAGGTGGGGGCTGGCAAGCTGAGATGAGCAAGGAATGTGGGGTCCTCCCTCATTCATCTCTCAAGCTGTTGTAAATTGTGCCCCTCTTTGAGCTATGTCAAAATGCCCTAAAAGAAAATCGTGTACTGCTTCTGTATAAATAAAGCGGACAGCTTTCTCGCGTGGTCCACAATAATGTTGGAATTGTAGGGGTCCGTCTCTTTTTTCTTCTTTCTACACCTATTTCACGCATCCTTCTCGAGCTCTGAACTCAGCTGGAGCTGAACTCCAGCAGCAGGCCCTGCCTCGTGGCTTCAGGGTGCCCTTACAGTCAGGAGTTGAGACACGAACACTGCATTCTGCAGGAGACCTCACCTGAAGTCAAGGGAGCAAGGAGGCTCTCAAACCACTTGTTCCAGCTCATTCCTCAGCCCTGGTGCTACCAAAGGGGAAAGAGAAAGAGAGAGAGAGAGAGATAGAAAGAAAGAAAGAAAGGGGCCTGGCATGATAGCGTAGTGGTTAAAGTCCTTGCCTTGCATGTGCCGGGATACCATATGGGCGCCAGTTCTAATCCCAGCGGCCCTGCTTCCCATCCAGCTCCTTGCTTGTGGCCTGGGAAAGCAGCCAAGAATGGCCCAAAAGCCTTGGGACCCTGCACCCATGTGGGAGACCTGAAAGAGCTCCTGCCTTCTGGTTCCTGGCTCCTGGCTTCGGATTGGCGCAGCAGCGGCTGTTGCAGTCACTTGGGGAGTGAATCATCGGACAGAAAATCTTCCTCTCTGTCTCTCCTCCTGTCTGTATATCTGCCTTTCCAATAAAAATAAATAAATCTTAAAAAACAAAACAAAAAAAAACAACCCCCAAACTAGGGTCATTTAGAAAGACTGGATTTCAAAACAAAGGGGTTTCTTTTTTGGTGATTGAAGTTACATACATACATCCACAGATGCCCTGAGCCAGCACTATATGCCAGACAGTGAGTCGGAGTCCGGCTGATCTGGCTCCACGCAGGCCCTGAAATATCCGACCTCATCCATCTGGGCCGATTGTGATGCTCGGGAGCTGCCTTGAACCATTCTCTGGTTCTCTTGACAAGGCACTCCAGGCACAGGACTAAGAACAATGCAGGCAAGCTTTTGTTTTGCTCACAGGCATACAGTGCAGTCACGGCCTGATGGGGACACTTATCTGTGCCGTGCAGTGAATCACTCAGAGCTTGCTCATACGTGTGGCAGTTCCACTGGCCACTGACTGAGACCTCAGCTGCAGCCATCAGCAGAAGCCCCTCAACATAGCTGCCCTCATGCTTGCTTGCTCCCCAAAGTGTGAGGGTTGGGTTCCAAGAACAAGCATCCTCAAAGCAAGAGGTGGCATCTGCCAGCGTCTCACAGCCTACAGCTGCACACTGACACACTGCTGCTTCCTCTGCACGGGTAACATAGTCACAGAGTTCAGGTTCACATGCACTCAGTGAGAGAAGTATCATGACTTTTGGAGGCACTATCTTATTTTTTTTAAGATTGCTTTTTATTGAAAAGTCAGATTTACAGACAGAAGGAGAGATAGTGAGCAAGATCTTCCATTTGTTGGCTCACTCATCAAATGGCTACAACAGTTGGAGCTAAACTGATCTGAAGCCAAAGATTGTTCGAGGTCTCTCATGCAAGTGTAGGGTCCAAAGATTTTGGGCCGTCCTGTACTGCGTTCCCAGGCCACAAACAGGGCACTGGAGGGGAGGCTGAGTAGCCAGGACATGAACCAGTGCCCATATGGGATCCCTGTGCATGCAAAGCAAGGATTTTAGCCATTAGGCGACCACACCAGGCCCTGGAGGCACTATCTTTTATAACGCCACAGCTTGCAAGTTGGAAAGAAATGGAACCAGTGATAGAGAGCACAGGGACTGTGTCCAGGAGCTAGCCTGCACCCCTCCTTCCTAATGCACAATGTTACAAGTATGGGTTATAGTTGTGCTTGCTTCTAGACACATGCACTGCCCCCCTGAAGCAACATGGAATTTGCTAAGACCCTCTGTTCAGCAAAGCTCATCCAAGGGTGAGTGAGGACTACCATACCCAGGCCCCTGGCAAAGTATTCTCAATTCATTCACTCACTCCTTTACTAATCTGAACTCTAGGCCCCCTTACCAAGTGTTTCAGCCTGTCTAGATGCCAGTATTTGTCAGTGTTAGGAGCTGTCACCTCACACTCAGTGCTCATGTCACCGCCAAGTACAAAGTATCATCTCCCTTGCCAAGGCTTCTCCATTGATTGCACAGTCCAGTGTCTTTTATGGTCACATGGTCCAGTCAATTCACAAGGAGCTGGGGAGATCCAGAAACTCTAGCCCCTCATTCATAATGTCAGGTTTTCCAGCCATGAAGAAGTCAGAGCTCAGACAGCTGATGATATGGGACCAGAGCGTGGTGTCCGCACTGCCTGCAGACAGGAAAAGTCACCATACGCAGACCATAATATCGTCTCCACGAATGGTTCTGGAAGGATGGAAGTAGCACAGGGAAGGACAGAATGTCACCAGCACAGCAATTCTCACCTGCTATAACACATACAACAGGTCCAGAAGCCTCCAGACAGGGCAAAAGCCATCCGACTTCATGTCTTGTCCCAAACCAGCCATCCTGTTCTCGCCTAACAAAGAGAGGGCAGAGCCAAGAAAAGATCTGGCTTCTAAGCTGACAGGTGGCGGCACGGGCTAGATTTATTTAGAAACACCTAATTAAGCTGCAGAATAAACTAGTCATCAAGGTGTTTAATTGGCAGCATGTGACTATTAGGAGCTAATTAAGTTGCTCCCTCCTATTTTAATTAATGTTTGTCATTCGGCCGCTGCATGGCTGGTGCAAGGTTAAGGAAAACAGAAGGAACCCACTGGCTGGGCCCTAGACTCAGTCACTAGCTGCTCTCAGCAACCTGGCAGAGCCAAGCAGATGGGGCTGTGTGGGCCTGTGCAGCTCACTCCACTGTCCATGGCCCAGACTTCACTTTGTGCTAGTCCAGGAGGCAGAGAAGGGCATGAGCAGAACCTAACTAGGCCTCATCTCAAACCCCACCTCTGCTCCTCACTGCTTGGACAACCAGGCCTACCTGGCCCTTCAGAGCGTCCACTT